GCGCCGCCGTCACTCCGTCCGGGCAACATCCGTGCCACGATTCCTGGCATTCCTTCTCCGCAACTGTCTTATCTGAAATAATTATTATCAACAGGCCACGAAAAACAACCCGCTTGATTGTATTAATACTCCCGTGAAGAATACCAAACCAATTGACAAAAAACTAACAAATATCACAAGAAACCTTTTTCTTTATTTCTGCATATCGCTTTGAGACACGGAAGTAGATTAGGGACTTATTTTATTCTTAAACGTACCAATATTGTGTCACTACTCTATGTAAAATAAGGCTAAAATACTAAGCCTTTTACTAGTACACATAAATCAAGGTTCCAAAAAAGCTCCTCTTAAATTCTCAGGCTTAAATCGCCGAGTTGGAATTTTGCAGGTGTGAATTTAAATGTTAAGGAAATGAGTTATACTCTTAAATGTGTCAAGTTGAGTGCCGGATCGTCCGGCAAATGCAAGGCCGTGAGTGCTGACATGTAATTTATTGTTGTGCAATATATTTAGCGCGGCGCGGCGCTCTCCCATCGTGAATTTTTACAATGAAAATGCATCGCGTATTCGCGTTGTATTTTTGCTGCGAATTCTCCGCCTCGGGACAAAATCATGATTACACGTTCAGCGTTTAATAGCCGCTTGTTGCAGATTTTAAATGTTTTATGCAGCAGTCCGAATATAGAAAGGATGGGTAAGTGTTCTCTCTTCTCTCCCCAATTCTATTTATAATTCTTCTAAAATTAATTACATTTTTTGTTACAAAAGGTACAAACATTATATTCAATTAAGGTTGCAGTAATCCTGAGAATTAAGATGGGAACCAATTTTAACACGATCGTCGGGTCGCACAATCGCACAACTCCCTTATAGGCCCTGAATCCAGTACCTTTCTTGCAGCATGTGGCAGCTTTAGCGGTGTGATGACAGTAGCTTCCAGCGGGACAGTCCTTGCGGCGCGGTCCACCGCCGCAGTCCAGTACGCGCCCATCGCCGTCCGTCAGCGGCTCGTCGTCACCGCACGGACGAAACTACACACATTAATACCCCTGTTCCACTATCGCGACTTACCTCGCAGCTTTAAACACGCGGGACAGCAGTTTATAAGCGAGAACGCGACTGTCATACAAATATCAATGGCGCGACCAATCGATTAGTGTAAAAGAGGTCTAACTTCGCAATGTAAAAGGGATAATTCCAAGCTTTTTTCCTCAGATTAATTAGAACCTTGTTATGACATGCTGTTCCAATTTTAATTGATTTATTTAATAATTGAAAAATACGTGAACTCTATGATTAACAACTCCTGTCTTATCTTATTAAATTTGACCAACTTTTCTGTTTAAAAACACAGTTCCCAATAAAACGGCAAGAGCCAAGCTTAACAGTGGTCTTTTTGTGAAAGTTCGAATTGAGCACTTACCAATAAGCTCATTTACAATCGATGGCGCACGTACTTTGTGTACTTAAATATATTATCAATATTTTCCGCGAACGAGTGAGCAAACAAAACAATTTTCAAACAATCGCACATGTTTGGATATCCATATACTTCACATATTTTATTTAGTAGCGAAATTCTTATAACTTTAATGATGTTGAATAAAATTTTATTAAACTGGTTATAATATAAAAATGTATTTATTGTGTGTTCCATTAAATCCATAATTATCAAAGGTAATTAAAATGTATTTCTGACCAAGAGTGTTGTTCTGTTACGTTCTCAATATGAGGCATTGGAAGGACAAACCTCTAATCCCTTGCAGAGAGCCAAGGGGCGTAACCTGAGGTCCTCCTGTCGGCGGCAGGCCTCCAGCTTCATGTGGCAGAGCGTGGGGTAGAGACGCAGGTCGGAGGCGCAAACGGGCGCGGGCGGGGCCGCGGCGCAATCGAAGAGGCAGGCGCAACGCGGCTGGCCGGCTTGCACCGCGCACGTCGCTTCGTACGCGCAACGCACGCGCGCGCACACCGCGCCCCCCGCGACACTAGCGCCCCCCGCGCCCCCGCTCTCGTCCCCACTCTCCGCCTCGCTTCTAGTCGCACTCCCGATATCGTTGGACTCATTCTTAGTCGTCTTGTTTGTACCTACAGCGTGTATTTCTTTAACAGTAACTCGTATTAACACACAATAAGGATAGCTACTTTTATGTACATCTGTTGTTCATATTATTTCTTTTTTATCTTATCTTGTATTTGTAATCTTTTGCTTTATTACTTTTTAATTAATAAACTGTTTTCAGTTTCTTTTCAATAATAAAAGAGTCTTGCGACGTATTTGTAAAACACGTCTCTGTTATATCGATATCTATGTCTTCAGATAAATATTCTAAAATTGTATTCGTACGTCTCTCAAGAAATTAGTCATACTATAGATGGTACTACGACAGTACTACAATTCGTACAAATGGTATACCTCCGGCATTATCCTTGTCTACGCAGTCCCCGTGATGCACGAGTCGGGGTGGTGTCTGCCCGCGGGCACGTGCCTCGCACGCGGCGTTGTGCAGCGCGCACTCGTGCGCGTATGTCTGCAGGTTGTCCGCGCACACGGGGGCTTGCGGCGCGCCCGCGCACGACCTGCTGCACGAGCACGTGCCCCGCGCGCAGTACGTGCCGCTCGGACACTTCACCTCCGCGCACGACTCTAACAATACAAAATACGCAGACTGGAGCAAATAAATGAATTACACGTGCTCGTCACTACATTGTTAAATGTAAGTACAATTGAGAAAAGGGAAGAGAAAAGAACAGAGTCAGCAACTACGCGTCATTCTAATATGATTTACCACAAGAACCCATGTGTTTAACATGCAGGTGCCTCTTCTCCCGGCACGCGACGTCGCGGAGCGCGCACACACTGCTGTAAGTTTGGTTGTCACTACCGCAAACTTCTTCTGTTTCCTGATGATGAAAAGTACAGATTATTGTAAATGAAATCTAACAGAGATTCTGTGTAGAAGATTCGATAATAATGAATATGCAGTCTATACTTACAGTGCCTTCTTCGCAGTGCTTTGGACAAACGCAGCTGGTCTCAGAAACACCATCGCTTTCACAGACTGCGTAGTGCTCACATTTCTTGTTTTCGCAACCATCTACAAAAAAATATCATAAATGTATGCTCATTTGTCTCCTACTCTCATAAAGCATTTTATAGCTTAGTAGTAGTACAAATGATAAGTATTGTGACGTACTGCATGGTCCGTCGTAGAGTACTTTGACGTCCCTGCGGTGTCTGCAGGCTTCCAGCTGCAGCGTGCAGCGGTTGCCGTACGAGATGCCGTCGGAGCCGCAGACTGGCGCAAACTCGGCGGAGCAGCGCGGGCAGCGGCACTCGCCGCGCGCGTCCCCGCCCGCGCCCGCGCCCACGCATTCCCCTCCATGCGGGCACACGCGCCCCGCGCACACCCCACTGGAACCTGCACATAAACACCACAAACAATTACAAATAATAAGTACATTGTTAACAAATTAACCGGAAATAATATTACCACAAGCCCCCGCGTGCAGCAGCTTGATGTCCCTGCCGAGGAGGCACGCAGCACGTCGCAGCTCGCAGTCGCTGTTGTGCGTGCGAGAGTCCGAACCGCATACGGGCCGCAGCACGGGCTCGCACACTGCGCACGCGCACACCGCGCCGCTCTCCTCCACGCGGCACTCCGCCCCGTGCCGGCACTCCACCGCCGAGCACGGATTCACACCTGGGTTTTGTTCAATTCGCAATGGTAGAGCATATCAAATGCAGCTAAGAATCATAACGTATATGAGAATATTCTTTTCTTCCCCATTTGTACTGTATCCCAGTATCAAGCACACTGTATGGCCTATAAGAGGTGTACGATAACATGGAAGTGTATAGACTGACCGGAACTACATTGTCCTTTGAAGATGACTCTCAGCTGTTTTCTGGCGCGGCAGGACTCGCGGTGCATTTGGCACTCGTTGGAGTACGTCTTGCCGTCGGAGGCGCAAACTGGCGAGAACTCCAGCGGGCAGGGCTCGGCGCAGCGGCACACCGGCTGCCGCCGCTCATCTAGTTGACACACCTCGGGTTCGGGACAGGTCACGCCAGCGCAAGGGTCTGGATCAAACAAGATACAAACTTAAAATTGCGAGCAGTAGGTTAAAAGTAAAGAATCTGTTTCTATTTTAGGTTTCTCTTCCCAGTTGAGGGGCCAAAGTTCTTGTTTTACTTCCTTTCCCATAATATATTAGCAAATATCGCTGTCGATGTCCACACAGCCTACTTGCTCAGTTACCCTATTTTAAAACTATCTTTGTATACTTACCACATTTACCGTAGTACATGAAGGTGATGTTCGTGTTTGTTTGACAAGCAGCGCGTCGCATCTCGCAGTCGCCGGGGTAGTCGCGGGCATCGCTGGCGCAGAGCGGTCGCGCCCCCTCGTGGTCCCCGTAGCTGGGGCAAGACGCGGGACACTCGCAGTGATACGACCGCCCGTCCGATGACGGACGACACGTCTCGCCCGGACCACAGGAGACTCCACGACACGGGTCTGGCACGTCTGGTGTTAACAATTAACATAAACTTTGGTGAAGAAAAAAAATATAATAAGACTTAAATAAAAAATTTAAAACAAACGTTTGGTCTGTGTTTATCCATTTCTATGTTGCTGAATACCAAAACGGCTGCAATCCACAATACTTATTCTTACCACTGGGGAAGAGATAGCAACCGAACGCAGTCGCCAATAATACGTGGAACAGCGACACTCGGGTGATGAACATGTTCCGGCTAAATCAAGCTGCACATGGTTCTTGCCATGCGATTCTTCAACTGGTTAAACCTTCTAAAATAAATAAACCATGTTAATATGTAAATTGTATATACCTAGGTATAATTGTTTTACATTACGTATAGGTAAAACAAAGTTGAGTTAAGACACAATAATTTTTTTTAAAGAAACCCAGTAAAAAAGCACGTTTACTATTTTGTTTTACTAAAAATCTTAAAATTGTACACAAAATACATTTAATAGAAATCGCTTGATTAAAACAATAATAACACAGTTACAAATATCACTTTTATATTGACAATTTAACCTCTCGGGACACTAATCAATATTACCTGTGACGCATTTAAAATTAATCTAATTAGACTACACTTTGTTAGACAGAATTAAAAGTACTGTACACTTACCGCAAAAATCGGGTTTATGAAACTTCACTGAAACCGATTATATCATTGTAAATTAAAATAACATACGTTGTATAATTTTAATTTGTCGTCTCACCTCTCTTATTTCCCAAACAATGGACTGTGTGTAATGAACCTTTCTTACTGAATGACGTCGCTGCGAACATGCGCACAACGTTTCAAGGGGGTTAATGTGATAACTCCGCTCTCAAGTCCACCACTCTAAAACTGCCGAGTGCTTATTTACCCTACTTCAATCCGACCTGTTAAAATACCATCTACTCGTGGTACCTCATATCAATAATTTTGTGTGGCGCCTGCACAATTTTAGCTGCAATTATTCATTTAGAACGAAAAATTCCAATAAATCCTAGTTATAGAGCAGACATTACGAAAACTCTCTTTTATTGTTCCGCACTTAATCGGTAGTACTTTATCAAAAGAACCGAGAAAGCGACCACTTGAATTCGCCAAACTAAACACCAGATAGCACGCACAGAAACATCATTGGGTTTCCTATTTGTATCCAGCTCTGCCAAATCAAACTACTTCTATCCCCTCCTTTTGAATAAACGTTGAGAAAGGGAGGACTAAAATTAGATTCGTTGAGAAAGTGTTTAGAGAACTGTAACTACAGTGGCAGTTTGTTCATCGTACTGATTGGGTTCAATCTATTGACATTTATAACGACCTGAAAGATTTATCTCGAAACCATTTTTATTTCTTTCAGATATAGAGAGAAGAGATAACAAAACACTTTTTTTTCATTGTTTTTTAATTTACACATAACGTCTACTTTTTCACAAGGATTTACACAATAAATACACATGGTTAAAAATTTTATATGTTTATTATCATGGTTAATACCATCAAGACGCTCCACTCTTTATTACAATCAATTGCATGTAATAGAGAATAAAACTTTACATAATGTATAAAAATAGGACACTGTGTGAGTCCTATCAGGACTCAGAAATGCACATATTGAGAAATAAACAGTACAAATCAAACACCATTCTCTCCAATACACTGCTAAAATGCAATGACAAATCCCCTCTCCCTTCCCACTAGCTATACAAGATGTTCTCAATTGTACATGATTTAAGATATATGAAGTCTACTAACAAATACTAATTTTTGTACATTAACTATGACCTACGTATATCACCTGCATTCATGTCAAATTAATTACCTAGTGTTGAAATTGTGGCAATTCATTAAATACACCATAACAATCTATTATACCAAAAAATAAAAATCGTTTTACACCTGTAAACAGGCAACAAAATTGGAACAAATATAAAAATTAATGGTAATCAGCAAAATTTATACACAAACATTGACAGACTCGGTAAATAAATAAATTTACTATACAGTCTCACTTAACAAACACAGTCGTAAATACGAGGGAAATTTTAATGTTTCATCCAATTCATTTCACTTATCACATAGAAGAACGTCCACAGCACATTGTCACTTACACTGTACATTTACACTTTTTAACTAGTGTCTGCGGAAGGAGATCCCCTATTTATTTATATTTACAATATAATTTATTTGATATTTACAAGGAGCCTCTGCAGAGGTGGCACTAGGTGGTACTAGGTGGGCGGCGCGCGGCGGTCGTAGTCCCGGCGGTACACCTCGCGCTCGTAGTCGCGCTCGTCGTACGCGTACTCGGGCTGCGGGTAGCTGCGCCACTCCTCGGGGTAGCGCACCGGCGGGAAGCCCATGCCGCCCGCCAGCGCGCTGCCCTCGTAGTACCCGGCGTACGGCCCGCCCATGCCCGTGTATCCAGTGGGAAATCTGTTATGACAAACATTAAATATAACTGCATAATAATGACATAACTTTATTTTATTGTTCAATTACAAATGTCAAATTCTAAAGGCTGAAAACTTAAGGAACCATGGCAATCTTTTCTTGCAGAGCAATTTTTTCCTTCCTAATTCGTAAGTTTAACAGCGTGAAAATATAATAAACATATCTGTTGTAAGTGTAAGGGTTTTTAAAAAATATGATTGGGTACACCCTAGATAACAAAGTATGTTTAAAGTTTTATTACATTAGTATAGATGTATTGTATTTAGATGTTACCGTCTCTTGTCGTGCGGGCGCGAGTTGCGGTCGCCGCGGTACTGTCGCGGTCCGGGGTATGCGGGCGGCGTCCACCCGGGGTGCAGCTGGTGCTCGGCGTGCGGGTGCGGCAGCCCGTACTGCGGCCGCACTCGCGCCTGCCCCAACCCTCCGCTGTCGCGCCGCGTCCGTGAACGTTCCCGCTCTCGGTCCCGGTCCCGGTCCCTCTCCCGGTCGCGCTCCCGCTCTCGGTCCCGATCGCGGTCTCGATCCCGCTCCCGGTCGCGGTCTCTGTCACGCTCCGGTCTACCTCGATCTCTGCAGATCAAATCGTCTCGTTTCAGGCTGCTATCTTTATTCTTGCGATCTCTGTCTTTATGTCTGGTATGGAAGATGCAATTTGGTGAGTTTATGGAAAAATGTTAGCGAAAGTTAAAAAAGATTGAAAGGACAATGAACATGCATGAGATATGTGTAGTGAAAAATTACCTTTCATGTCGTTTATTATCATTTGTATCAGGATCACATTCACCTTCCTCTAATTTTCTTTTAACTCCGGATGAATGAGGAGTTTTATCATTACTTTTATCTTGTTTGTCCTTATCTGTTTTTGGTCTTTTTTCTTTTCTATTATTTGATGAATCTTGCTTAGCATCCTTTTTAAATGACTTGTTCATGTGGTTATTAGAAATGAGATTATTTTTACCACCCTGCAAAAAAGGAATTTAAAAAAACAGCTTAGAAAATTTACAGACAAGCTTAAAATTCAATATGATGAATCAGTGACAGTATGATTTTGATGACATTGTTACAGAAATCACTTTTTGAAAACAACAGTACTAATTTTTATTATTGAACTTGCAAAATAGAATAAACATACTTTCAAGTTCTCCTTGTGTTTTCCATCTTTACGTTTAGGACCATCAAGTGGTTTCTTTAGACCATACTTGTATAACCTATACAATTGTTTTGCATCAAAATTCGTAAATTTCGACACGAAATACCAGAGATTACTTCTCCATTCCACTTTCTTCTCGGGGTCAGGGTATTCATCTAAGCATATATCTATTTGGCTTCCAATTTGAGCTAAACAAGATCTTGTTCTCGACACTTGTTCAGATTCAGTGAGTGTCTGATCAGGATTATCGAGAGCTCTTAAAGCTTTTTTAACTGGTCTCATTTTTTCCTTACACTGTAACAAAATTTTTGCATAAATAAAAGAAAAATAAGGCACCAAAAATATAAAATGTGATTTTGATTATAATGAGCCTACCTCTTCAAATACTGATGGATCAAGGTCGCCCAAAACTTCCAAAGCCCTGGGTTCGTTGTTGGCTGTAAAATGCATCGGCCCCGCTGGCTTCTTCCGACTTTTCACTTTGTCCCCCTTTGTCCGGTCCCTGCCATCTTTCTTTGTGCGTTTCTTATCTTTTTCTTTTCTATCATTTGAGGCTTCATCATGCATTGCTATTTCTTCTAATTTAGATTTAGTCTGTTCAAAACAAAATATTCTTAGTAATCTTCAACACATTTTTTCATAGATAAGAAATAAAAATAACAAATATATAAAGTGTAAACATTACCTTTTCTGATTTATCATTTTTAGCATTCTTGTTTTTCTTCTCGTCTCCAGAAGTGCCATCTTCTTCCACAATATCTTTAGTGACAGGTTCCTTATTTCCTCTTTTCCCTCTTGGTTTCCTTTGTTTCTGTTTCCCATTTTTCTGGTCTAATAACTTTTTAATTAACTTAAGCAGATATTCAGCTCTGGACTGTAAATGTTTCGCTTGAGGTTTCTTGTCTTCATTGGTTAAAATTTTATCACCAATTTCAAATGATGAATCCATTTTGATTGCCTCCCATGAGCCCATACCGTATTGGTATATTCCAGCGAGAAGCTTCGAATCATCACCTACAGTCCAATCTATATCGAAATTTGCAGGCCTTGTCCTAAAATAAATAATTAAGAGCATTAATTTGCGTAAATCAAAGCTTTAATCATATTAAAACTAAAAATCTAAAGATAGTTTTTCCTACCTGAAGTCTAACTGCCATTTGAGTCTCTCCTCCTTTGTCTGTGGCAAGAATTCATCTAAAGGTGCCAACTCATCCTGGCAGGCGGCCATCGTCTTGGCATTGACAGGAACACCTCCAAGCTTAAATGTTTTCCTAGTATTTTTTCGGCCATTATTTTGTTCATCTACAAATGCACAGTTTTAGTATATCGATATATAAATCAAAAGCAAGATTTACAATTGCTAAACTCATTTGAAACATACTAGCAGTTTCTGTGGTATCATTGAGCACAGCTTTACACCGCTCCGTAAGAATCTCGCCGAGCTTCTTAAGTTCTGCAAGAGGTTTCTCTTGAAGCTCAGCATCACAAGCTATACTGTCGAGGTGCTTTAACGGTGCCGAAAACTTCTTGTAACTTTTCACAAATCTCCGGATCTGAAAAGATATTAAAGTAAGCAATAAATATAGGACATTTGATAAAAGATTAAGATAAGAAATTGTAGATCATAATCGCACAACGCAATAAAAATTTTGTTAAACACAGATTGATTGTTTATCGGACTACAAATATTGTGAAATATGTATTGAGTTAGCGATCTGTCAATCCTTATTGTAAGCATCGATATCATTGACATTATGGAATATAAAAACAAGTTTCCAACCTCAAAATCAACGAGGCCGCACAAATTATAATTGTTTTATTCAAGGTCAGCCATGCAACTACGATTAAATAGAGTGGGCGCACAGCTTTGACTGAACTATTACACAACTGTTGTGCGATTGTCGGTTGTTTCGCATCCAGTACAACTGTTTAGTTACACAGCTAAAAATCGAGTAGTGTGCGCACATCTATTTAAGCTCATAGGACTCAAAAGGAGACTAAACATTTGAGTGATAGTTTAGATTTGAGCGTGCTATTAAAAGCCGAGGTACCTCTTGATCTGTAAATCCTTTAATCTTCTCCCTGTG